AAAAAAAAAAAAAAAAAAGTAAAACTGTTCTTAGACATTAATAATTCCAAGGATGCTCACAGCAGTTCTTTTTTTTTTCTTCATTAAGTTTATTGGTACATTTGAGGTATACAGTATGATAACATGCATTATTGGGAAATTGTACCTTTACATAGTATATCTTGGTTCTTATTTTTTCCCATTCCCCTGTCCTCCCTTCATCCCCTCCACCCCTTCCTACTTGCAAAGACTTTGTTTCCATTTTTCACTTTTCTCATATTTATTCCTTTGCCTAACAGCTTCCACTTCCACTTAGGACTTTTTTCCCTACTTCACATTATCTGTTGTACATTTTGATTCTCATTTACACTTTCAGTTTCTCACACCAGAGAAACTATTAAATATTTACACGTGAGTCCTATTTTCACACCAGTTCTTATTTTCATTGTATGAAATTGCCTTATCTATGGGAATAGACGAGCTCAACAAAAATTTTATTTAATTTAAAGAATGGTGGGCAAAGTGAGATTTTGTAGATTAAAATATGATATGCTAAAACATGATAGTCACTATAATCAGCATATCAGTTTGTAATTAGCCTTTTTTTTAGGAGATGAGAGAAGAGTTTCCCGAAGGTATGAAGATTGTCAAGCATCAGGTGAGAGATCATTGTTATGTGAGATATAAGTTAAATATCTGGCTTTTTCCACTTACTTTGAAAAGAATAATTAATTTGTATCTTTAGACACGTGTTGGAGTATTATTTGCCTGGTTGGACCTAATCTAATTACATAGGAGTTTGCCCCTTTGGGGAATTAGTTTATATTTGAACATATTATATATGAATCTGTCAATATATAGTTCATTTTAGATTTCTCTCAAGGTACAAATATCTAGCAGTTTACAATACTATGGAAACAATTATAAAATACAAAAATATTTGGACAGAAAAATAAAAATTACCTGTGATATCTGCCATTTGTTAATATCTTCCTTGGTGTGGAGATTCTTTTATATTTGCATGGCAACCAGCTGATTATAAATATATTTATACAAATATTTAAAATCCATGAGTCTACTTTCTTTTTCTTTTCTTTTTTTTTTTCATTTTTTTTGTACTGTGGATTGGGCTCTACTTTATTCTTTAGTTTTAACATAATTTATATAATGTTATTCCATAGGTATCTCTTTGTTTCTTACACAAGGAGACTTTTTTTCTTACGACAGTGTCTAGTTATTGTTTTTTCCTTGGGAAATATTTAACTCTAAATTTAATGTAGACTTCACAGAAATTTATGAGAGCAATTTATCACAGCATGTAAGCTAACTTGACAGTTTTGTAGACATGCATTTTAAAACTAAATTGCATGATACCATGATAGATTTGTATTTTATTAAGGACATTATTCTATATGCAGTAATCATAATGAAATTGCAACAAATTGCCTGCCATATAAATTTTAATCCCTAAAATCAATCTTGATACTTAATATTTAATATTCCTCACATCAGGTATACTATTCTAAAGCACACATATTTTTATACATTATCATATACTTACCATGACTATATTAATTCACTACTATATGTATATTTCTTGCTAAATCCCTTTGATTTCATCAGCTTCCATTGGTGAGAAATTGGTCTGATGCCAAGATTTGGTACAGGGTTATAAAATTCAGTTTTTTATGTTATATTCATCTTATTAGTTTATTTTTGTGATGATCAAATTGATGTATTTATTTCATGTGATATACTTTTCAAAGTGTTTCCATATATATGTGTATGAAGTGGGGGAAAATAAGTAGATTAAATATACTTTCTGAAATTTACTATCACAATACAAACTTGGCACCGTGTCATCAGCATTAATTTGTAAATGTCAAGAGCAAAAAAGTATAAATATGTGCTGTTTAATTGTGTACCAATTTTTCCAAGGAAACCCTTTGGACTCGACATTAGAAAACAGAAGTAGTACAGCAGCACAATATCTTCAAATTTGTGATAGCATTAATACAAATAAAATCCTTAAACAAAAAGCCAAGAAGAGGAGAAAGGGAGAAACAAGACAGTGGCAAACAGGTAAAATACTTTGCTTTATGAATATTATAATAATTTCAGAGGTGCAATTATTTTTATACCCCCCAAAAAAATAAGTTGCAAAAAGGCATACCTTCTACGTACCTATTTATGTAGGATATAGATTTTTTTTATATAATGAGACTGGTACCTAATAAAAATTTACTTGTTTTTCCCTTATTGAAAGATATTTTTAAATAGAATTTTAAAGTTGCTTTTAACAATAAAGGTTGTGCTCACTCTGGCTTTCAAAGAACATATGAAGGTAGCATTATGACAGGTGAGTGGTATTTAGTAGAGTGCCACTTATTACTTATTACTGAGTTACGTTCCCATACATTTGTTTTAATGTGCATTTTTTTATCTTACAGGATTTTATTTAGTATAGTATCCACATAGTAAATGTCATTTAGTTTTGGCACCTTTGTTATAAAATCCTTTAAAAAAGTCTGACCAAATGTCACCATTTCCTTTTTTTTTATCTAGCTGTTATAATAGGTCCTGATGGGCAACCCCTGACAGTATACCCTTGCCATATTTGCACAAAAAAGTTTAAATCCAGGGGATTCTTAAAAAGGCACATGAAGAATCATCCTGATCATTTGATGAGAAAAAAATATCAGTGTACAGATTGTGACTTTACAACTAACAAGAAAGTGAGTTTTCATAACCACTTAGAAAGCCATAAGCTTATAAACAAAGTTGACAAATCTCATGAATTTACAGAATACACAAGAAGATACAGAGAGGCTAGTCCACTGAGTTCAAATAAACTTATCTTAAGAGATAAGGAGCCGAAGATGCACAAATGCAAATATTGTGACTATGAAACTGCAGAACAAGGACTGTTGAACAGACATTTACTGGCTGTTCACAGTAAGAATTTTCCTCATGTTTGTGTTGAGTGTGGGAAGGGTTTTCGACATCCCTCTGAACTCAAGAAACATATGAGAACCCATACTGGTGAGAAGCCATATCAATGTCAGTATTGTGTCTTCAGGTGTGCAGATCAGTCTAATCTGAAAACTCACATTAAGTCTAAGCATGGCAGTAATTTGCCATATAAATGTGAGCATTGTCCCCAAGCATTTGGTGATGAAAGGGAGCTTCAGCGCCATCTGGATTTGTTTCAAGGACATAAGACACACCAGTGTCCACATTGTGATCATAAGAGCACCAATTCAAGTGACCTTAAGCGGCACATCATATCTGTCCATACTAAGGATTTCCCTCACAAATGTGAGGTCTGTGATAAAGGTTTCCACCGTCCATCTGAGCTCAAAAAGCATAGTGACATTCATAAGGGTAGGAAGATTCATCAGTGCAGGCATTGTGACTTTAAAACATCAGATCCATTTATTCTTAGTGGTCATATCCTTTCAGTTCATACTAAGGATCAATCATTGAAGTGTAAAAGGTGCAAGAGAGGGTTCAGACAACAAAATGAGCTCAAAAAGCATATGAAGACTCATACTGGAAGGAAGATTTACCAATGTGAGTATTGTGAATACAGCACTACAGATGCATCTGGCTTTAAACGACATGTAATCTCAATACATACAAAAGACTATCCACATAGGTGTGAATTCTGCAAGAAAGGATTCCGTAGACCATCAGAAAAAAATCAGCATATTATGAGGCACCACAAGGAGGCTCTTATGTAAGATATATATTTTAAAAAGCTATTTAGAATATAAGATATGGCACCTGGGAGGAAGACCTCACCATTTCTTCTGGTTTCAAAACTTAGTATTAAACCATAACTTTACATTCTTTGTATTAAAGATCTTAAAATATTTGAATTGATGGGGAAATCTCAGCCCCTTGAAAGTTACTTAAAGAATTTAAAAGCACCATAGAATGGTTGCAGACTTAATTGTCTATTTAATACTATTTTATGCATAATTAAAATACAGAGGAAAGGTAAATACAAATACCTTAATTGGTTGATCATAATTGAGACAAATGTTTCTGAAAAGAGGATTTTAGCAATGCTTTGCTATAACAAGTAAAGCCTCACTTTTATGCAATTTTAGAAACAGGGTGGGGAAATAAAATTCATTAGTCACTTAGTCATTGAGCCTTTTATATTGTAACTGGACATTGAATTCCAGAAATGGCAAACGTTTTATGTATTTGTTAAAAGAAATTTCACTGACAAACAGGTTAGTGTAATTCAGTACTATTAAAAAAAAGAATTTCAGAGCTGCTAATATTTTATCACAGGTAAGATGTTTAAAGTATAGAATTCTGGGCTGAAATTTGTGATTGAAGTCCTAGGACTAAAGCTCCCTTTTTTCTGATGTTCAAGTCGGTTGTTGTTCAGTATTACATATATGACAAGAGTATATTTGAGTCAAATGTGGCTTTCTGAAGTGGATGCAACTGTAGTGTTGCAAATAAAATCAGCACTATATTTCTTAAGATTTCAAGATTAAATTGAGAGAACACAGTTTTCTTAAATATAATGTTTGGAGAGTTTTTTAGGACAGTCTTAGCAAGTGTGATTGTTCTAGTCTTATTTGCTCTAATGTTTAAAGGTGCAATTTTATGCCATTATTGAAATTTTTGATTTTTAAAAATCTATATACCATGTTATTAACATGCATTTTCACTATTAGGCAGTATTTATGCAGTATTTAACAGAACAATATGCTGCCAATAGAGTTTGGAGATGGATATTCAGTTTACAGTGTATAAATTTAAAATATGCATCCTTTTAACAACGCTTTGTGTTAGCATGCTGCAAATCAAAATGGCGCTTAATATTAAAAGCTGGTTTAGGGAAACTTAATGAAAATCTTGTTCATAAATATAATGCACATGATGTGTACTTTTAAGTTTTAGTTGCTTCATGTTTATATTCAGCTGTTCAACGTAATTTTACTTCATGCTATATTGTGGCTTTGTGTTTCAAATAATGTTCACCTTTCTGTTTTTGCACCAGATAAGAATCTGTTCCTTGAGAGTAAATTTTTTTATCTTTCCTAACTTCTGAATATTAAATTTGGAAAATCTAATAAAATTGTGTGTTATGTGGCTGTAAATGATGTACACGCTGTAAAATAAGATTGTCACTGTTATGTGGGATTATAATTTCTCAATGTTACTCATTGAAATGAGCATACAATAAAAAGCATTTATTGCACTTCAAGGTATTACGAGTTTGTTTAAAGATATGTTGTAATGTTCATTGCTTATTAAAATACTTTTCACTTAAAACTTCTCAGCTAATTTGCTTCCTTTTTGACATCTGGTTGAATTTTGTGCAAAAACATGGGCTAGGAATTTAAATAATTGTGATGAGTATGACATGCTTATTCCTCAAGGATGTATACAGTTTGCTAAAACCATGATGAAATGCTAGAAATAAAATGTCCATTTTGAGACCTGACACTAGTATTGTAGAGAAAAGTAAAGATTCTTAACCTGTTTATATGACATAGTTCTGGGAAATGAATAAATCTAATTATTTATATACATACAAAAGAAGTATTGATTTAGGTATTTAGGAAATATTTCTGAAAATGAGCATTAAACTAAGTAGCTGTGTTCTAACTAATCAGCATTTAATAAAATTCATATACTAGATATATTTAATTACTAGTTAGGGCCAGGGATTTAACTTAGTGGAGTCATGCCTGCCTCGTAAGCGCAAGGTCCTGAGTTCGATCCCTGCTACCAAAACAAACAAACAGAAAACGGAATTACTAGTTAAAATCTGTCAATTGGATTATTATTCTTTTAAAAGAATCATTAACAGAACAAGATTTAGATTTACATGTTAAGACTAGTGCTTCTTAATTGGAGTTTACCTGGGAATGTTCATAATGTGTGAATTCTAATTCACTTGTGGGACCTATAATTTTGCATTTCTAGCCAGCTTCTCTATGTGTTCCTATCATATGAGTTATGTTAGAGCAAAGCATCCAATGCAATTCTGCCACACTTTAGTGTTTCTTCTTAAACTTATAACTGTGGGTGAGTGGATAGAGATAATTTTCCTGAGGACATGTCATTTGAGCTGAGACATAAGTGGCAAGAAGGAACTACTTAAATAAAGATCTTGTGGAAGAGCAAGGCAGAGAAATCTATAAATACAAATAACTGAGAAGGAATAAGCTTTGGCTGGATAACTGTAAATGAAAGGGCCTGAAAATTGTTAGGACCTGTGAGAAGTTTAAAGTTCAAAGCTATTTGGGAGTTTTGAGAAAGGAGTAATGTGTTACTATTGATGACTCTGGAGGCTACATGAGGAATGCATCATAGAATTTCTGAAGGATGCAGAGTCCTGTTAAGTCATTCCTGTTATTTATGGTTACAGTGAAGTTGGATAAAAATGGACAGATTTTCTTATAAATTACGCCTAGATAACTTCAGCTCAGGTAAAGCATAAATTCAGCCCAAAGTTATAAATGAAATATTGCCTTAAAAATATAATTTTACTGGCCCAAACCTTCCCTATGTGCATAAAAGCTTCCATCCAAAAATGTGGAATTGCAGTTAAATGTACCTTCACAAGAAAGAATAAATTGAATGGAGAATCATTTTTCCAGAACAGTTTCAGGCCAATATGTGCAGATGGTTTGGTCCATTTTTCACTTCTAAGTGGCGTAAGGCATGATGGAAAGAAAAATACGAATATTGTTATGGGCAGTAGGTTCAAGGTTCTATCTAGCACTATACTGTACATTAAAAATGGTTCATGTGCACCTTCAAATGCTGTTATGTCTTTTTCTTTAAACTTCACCCAAATAACTCCAAAGAGAATCCTCCATTTTAAAATCTGAACCAGTTGATAATACTGATATCCCATTTAACCGCTAATGTAAGTCCTAGTTCCAAAATGCAGTTATCCTAGATCAGTGGTGGCGAACCTATGGCATGAATACCACAGTGGGCTGTTTCTTTCATTGAAAGTTCTAAAAGGTTTGCCATCACTGCTAGATTCTAACGCGAAAAAATTACAGCATGACTGCCATCAGACCTCTTTACTAAACTATGAAAAAGTCTACACATATGAACTAGTAGTATTCAACACTGTGTTAGTAAGAAGCCTGTAAAAGCAAAGAAAAAATCACAAAGGCTGCCCCTTAACATAAAGGATTTTAGGAACATGTACTTCAGTAACAAAACTATTATTTTAGCGTGATAGGATGACAATACAAAGTTCAAGACCATAGAATTAGCATCTCATTGTCTATAAGAGATGAATCTAAGACTACCAAAACTATCATAAAATTGATATTGGTTATAATGTAATCATGTCAAATGACAATCCCACTATTCCTTTGCAGACTAAAGAAAGTATATCTTGTTCTGGAATGAATATTTTTAAAGAGTTTATTAACAAAGATATGTTCACTATGTTCTGTATGTGAATGTTTTATATTTACTATTCTAGGGTGAATATGAAATACTTTGTATTTTTTAATTTCACAAAAAGTACTGTGGAAAAACAGTAAGTTTAGTAATTTCATGTGATTTGGAATATGTACCATTTGAGGAAATACTTTCACAACATTTACTTTCAAAAGAAAGACCTTTGTAGACTACAGTAATGGAAGAAATATGATCATGGGTTTTTGTTAAAATGACTTAAATTGGATATATATATATATATATATTGTACTGGATGTATGCGTGTGTGTGTGTGTGTGTGTGTGTGTGTGTGTTTTGTACTGGGGATTGAACTGAAGACCTTGTGTTTTCAAGGCAGGCACAGTGGTGTCACTGAGCTAAATCCCCAGCCCTACAGATATAATTTTTTAAAGATTTATTTTGTTTCTTTTGTACTGTCTATATTTAGAAAAAGTAACAGCATCGTTACAGAGATGGGAAGAATGCATTGTAGAATCTTAGGTCTGAAACGTGAGTGAGTTATGGAACATAGAAAACTAGACTTTAAACCAAAGAAATTCTAATTTGAGGCAGAAACCGGAATCAAATCAAGGTCAAACTACATTAAAGTGCCATCTGTGGTAGTTTACATCAGGAAGTCCTTATAGTGTTTGGTTGTTTTTAATTAGAGTTGTGCTTGTTAGTTCCAATTATTTATATGATAGAGAGCTAAGCTAAAAATCCGTATGTACATTTCTTGCTTCCACTTCCACAAAAACAGTGCAAATATTTAACATATTTAGACAAATAAACAAATTACTTTGCATGCCATTATAGTCTCCATTTTATTTGACAAGTCTAAAGTGAAAACACTAAAATAGAAATTAGGTAAACTCCTCACCTGATATCTTTGCAGTTTTTATACATAAGTGGCCTTAAACTGGAGAGAGGAAAAGATACCACTACTTTTTCTATTGATCTCAATCACAAATCAGAAGCAAAATATATAGTTTTGTTTTTTGGTACCGGGGCTCGAACTTGGGACCATGCACTTGTGAAGCAGGCAGTGGAACCACTGAGCTAAATCCCCAGCCCTCAAAATATATATTTTAAAAATATAGTTATCTGTACTTTAAATTTTATATGCATTTTTAAAAATGTTAGGTATGACAAGGACCTTTTCATAAGCCTCTACCTATGCATATATCAAGTAGGTCAGGAAAGTGCTGACTTCTCAACTGCCACATCTGGGGAATTTTTAAAAATTCTTGCAAATGTATTTTTAAAAATACTTCCTTACACATTTTATGATAGAGTCCATTTGGTAAATTTCTGAATACATTAAATACTATAAAATATCTTCCAAGTAGGATATGTGTTGTTGCTATATTTATTCTGTAGGTCTTTATATAGTATTTCATTGTTATGTATATATAGCACTATGAAAGTCTATTTTTGCCCACTACTACAATATAGTGTTATACGCTTTAAGGATGTGAGTTGCTAATTTGTGGGCAAATATGCTGCAAAAGGACAGATTTGCCAAGGCACTGAGATATACTTAGGACCAAGTAGTATAATGCACAATTTAGTGGATTTAGTTATTTAAAAAGATGTCCTACTTCCCTGTTAAATGAAATTAACCATCACCTTTGATATAGTTATATTTTCAATAGCTGTAGATAACATGCAATAAAACCTTTTTTGTCACAGGATTAATATGAGAAAAGCAAATTCAGACTCTATCACACACTAACCTATTTTTTAAATTTTTTCAATTTTGGCCTGTTTTTGTTAAAAGCATTATTAAATCTTGTTGCAGAATCGCACATCTAATATCAGAGAAAATCTCTCACTGAATAACATAAAGTCTCTACTCCTACAACTTAGTAGGCAATCTAGAAAGCACCCTGTCTGAAAATTCGTGGGCTATGTTCTACATTGTCTGCAATCAAAGTTTAAGCAAGCAGTTTTCTCTTTTACTTTGGATTTATAGTGAATACATAAATGTTACAGAAAATTCTAATCTCATAAATAGCTGGAAAACTTATCTGCAGAATTAAGTCATTCCATTTGATTCATTCAGTAGTAATATGGTTCAAAAATTTGACTGGCTTTTATCAACAGAAAAAGAATAAAATACAAAATGCAGACAGAAAGCCTTCTTAGAGTTGTAATAGTTTAAAGTGGATTCATTCATGGCTGGAAAAGAAAACAAAAGGTTATTTTACAATTGGTTCATAAAGATTTTTAATGTATGTACACAGTTATGGAAAAATATTTGGATTGATGTGTATAAAAACAAAGCGAATGCACTGCACTTTTGTGGGACTTGTATGATAGTGAAATAGTGATCTCTGACTTTAGTCAAGGTATATATTTAAATGACCATTAGGAAGTAGGGAGGATTAAATAAATTTCATCCTTCATGTCATATTTAGAGGTTAAATATATGGCCAAAGATCTCTAATAATAAGTACAGTTCTATCATTTGTGGACTTAGTTAAATATATTATAAACTTGCTACCAGTGTCTATCGCACTTACAGATATCAACTTTAGTGTTTATTGCTACATGTTTTAATGGATGGAAAAGAAATTACTACTACTCTCGACCCTTTATTTGGCAGGTTCTCACATTGCTACCACTTGTAAGACACATGTGGTTAGTAGCAGCAATTACTTCTAAGTCTTGGATTTTAGTGTGAAATTAATTCTTAGTGATAAATTTTAAATCCTATATTGACCTGTCTTTTGCTACTACAGGGTTTACAGGTACTCATTTTAGCAGTTGACGATTTACACGTAACTCTCAACTAATTAGTGACCTAAGAAAAACAAACTTAAATATCAAATTATATGATTTTTTTTTGTCTTAAGCTTACTAGTAGTAATTGCTTGCTTCAACTGATGACAGAAAAGCATATTTACAAAGTTGGTATTTCATTTGAGTTATGGAAGGGCTTCAAAGCTTAAAATGTCTTATTTTGTTTACTCAAATATTTGAGATTGTTCAACCAAAATATACACTTATTCATATATATATTTGTATATATTTTGTTTGTTTGTTTACTTTTGTTTTGTTTTTGGTACCGGGGATCAGATTCAGGACCTTCATGTTGTGAAGCAGGCGACCAAAGCACTAAGCTAAATCCCCAGTCCCAAAATATATATTTTAAATGAGTTATTTAGCAAATGCTTAATTTTATTAACAAGCCATCTGAAATTTTGAGATTTCTTCAAAAGGTTCTGCAAAATTTTGATTGACATTTGTATATTTAGCAATTACTTGTCATAGTACACATATTGATATAGAATAAATGTAGCAAAAGTACATATTATAAGCACTTAGCTAAATAAATTTTCAGATTTTGAACGTGCACATGCAACCATCACCTAGCTCAAGAAACAGAATATTATTAGTAACCAAACTGCCCTTATATGTTGCAAACTGTGCTCACCTTCCAACAATAACCACTCAGTAAGTGGTTACTGGTGGTTATTTGATGGTCATAGATTGGTTTTGCCTGCTTTTTGTGCCTCAGCAGTTTGATAGGTAGGCATTTTAACAAAATGCACATTATTTTTAGTGTTTTGAGTTGGATTGTATATGGTTTAAGAGCTGGAATTCCCAAGCATTTTTTGTCCATTGCATCTGAGAGATCATACACATTCCTATGATGTCAGTGGATTACTATTAGAATTTTTTAGAAAGGTGTAGGAACATATACTTAAGAAAAAAACCAAGAGCACTTTGTTGTATTCACAAGGTTTCTCAACCTCAGCACTATTAAAATCTTAGGCAGGATAATTCTTTGTTGTGAGGGATTATCTTCCACATTATAGAAATATTAGCAGCATCCTTGACCTTTACCCTCTAAATGCTAATATACCCGCTTTCTAGTTATAAGTACCTAAAATTTCTTTAAACATTTGGAAATGTGTCCCAGGGGTCAAAATTACCTGTGGAGAGAACTACTTTGCTAGAAAATACACATTTTCTCTGTGATGATCACACCTTAGTAAATTAATCCATAAAAGTTTTAGGAAAGTAGCTGTCAGCCATTTATAAAGTTTTAATCAGCCCCTTTACAAAAATGGATTAAAGTACTTAGAAGTTGAAGTCTGTACTATCTATTAATCTTCAAGGATGTTTTAAAAGGTAGATAGTAGAGTACACAACAATAAAATGACTGTTTGGCAGCCTCACTATAAACTCTTGAGATTTGAAACTGGAGGACCTCACAATCCAGTGAGAAAATAGACATAGCTCCTCTCTTCTTTCAAAAGTCTAAAATTATAGTCTACAGAAATAGGTATATAGTCAAGATTGCAAAACAAATTTCATTAAAACATGCCTCTCGCATCCTCCCTTCATAACTGTCTGACATTTGATATTTTACTTAAGATTTAAAGGCTAAAATATAGTCATAATAGGACTATAAATATCCACATGAACTTACACAAGTCCATTTGTCTTCTGTTTTCTCAATCACAATTGTCTGTGTGTCACTACCTGGTGGTATATATTCATAGTCATCATACAGGAGGCCTAGGATTGGATACTGTGTCCTGTACCTGTACATAAGAAAAGTGTTTACATATGGCATGAGAAAAGAGTCTTGTTATTAAACTAATTTGCCTCTGAATGACTTTAAACTTTGTTCCAGTGGACGAGTACATGTTACCATTATTCTTTTAAAGTAGTAATAATGAAGAAGAGGACCCTCTTCCTCTGGCTATGATGCATCACTGCCAGCACAGGACACTGATGTCACAGAAGGGAATGTAAATGATATGAGCCCCACACACACCTGGCTCTCTGCCTGGAGAGATTTTCTTGATTACAGGGTAGAGAAAAGGAAATCAAACAATTCAGCAAACTCACCAATTGAAGTAACAGAGTTTACAGATAAGGTATCCAAAATAGCCAGAACTTGTAGGGCAGAGTATGAGAGAAAAGAAAACAAGTTGGAGAGAAGACCTATGCAGGCTCTCCTGTAGGTGATCAAGATTTGTATGTGAAGAAGCTATCAAAGTTTAAGAAAAGATTGGAAAGGAGTAGCCTGGCAATACCTTGGGCTCACATAGGGATGGTAAATTTTTGTGTTCCACTAACCAGACTGAAAATACCTAAGTAGGGGGCAGCTCATAGACAACATATAACTACTGCTTTTGTAGTGGGATGAAATTAGCATTACACTGGAAGCTATTGTAACAGTTTATAAAGTGAGATTTTAATGTATTAAGTTGTTTGAAATTTACTTTTATTACTTTTTAAATTTAGGGTGTATACAGAAGTTACTTAACTTTATCCCAGAATAAAACTCCCAAATATTTTAAATAATAGCAAAAACTGCAGAATTCAACAATCTAAAATCTTAATATGTGACATTCTATTAATAGATAGTAATCATACAATGAAACAGGAAAATATACCTAATAATTAAGATAATATAAATTAGAAACAGACTAGTGCCAGGGATTTAGCTCAGTGGTTCTATTGCCTGCCTTGCAAGCCAAGACCCAAGTTCGATCCCTGGTTCAAAAAAAAAGAAAAGAAACTGACCAAGAAATAACACTGATAAAAAGTGGAAAAGTTGCATCTGTTAGAGATATACAAATATACAGTGTATATTTAAGAAGTTAGAGGAAAATAATACCGTAATGAAAAGGGAAATGGAAATATAAAAACACCACACTAAAGTTCTAATGAAAAATAATATTGAGTGGGATTAATAACAGACGGCACTATAGAAGATAGACTGGTAAATTTGAAAACAAGAGAAATCTGAAACAAAACAAGGAAAAAGACTGAAAAATAGTACAAAGCATGAGTTATCTATGGGGAATCATTAGATTACACACAGTATATGTGTGTACATATATGTGTATATTGCAGAATGGCAGAAAACAGAGTGAATGAAGAAATAATCAAATTATTTCCAAATTTCATTAAAAATTGAAGCACACAGATCCAAGAAGTTCAGTGAACCTCAAGGAAAATAAATATGAAGAAAACCACAGCAGGGTATGTCATTTTCAAACTGCTAAATGGCAGTGGTAGAGAATCCTAAAAATATTCAGAGATAAAATAGTACTCAAAGAGGAAAAATATCATAGGATTAACAGCATAGTTCTCATCAGACATAGTGAAAATCAGACAATAAAATGGCCAAAATATTAAGTGGGGAATTCTATAAATATACAATTCTCAAGTTTTAAATTTTACACTGTTCTGAGTAGGATAATGAAATCTTCTGCTATCCTACTCCTCTCAGGATGTGAATCATCCCTTCTATCCATGTTATATATGAATGCTGCCCACCTGATAGTAATTTAGTAGCTTCTCAGTTATCAGGTCAATTGTCATGGTAGCACAAATTGTGTTCACGAAACTATTTACTTTATAATGGCCCTAAATTACAAAAGTAGCAATTTTGCAATTCATATATGCCAAATAGAAGATATGTTTCCTTTAAGGGAAAAGGTGAAAACTTTGGAATTAAGGCGATAAACACAAAATAATATGCTGATGTTGTTAAGATCTAGGGAAAGAATAATTAGGAGAAAACTACAGTAAATACTTTTTTTTTTGTACCGGGAATCAAACTCGGGTCCTTGCGCTTTCGAGGCAGGCCACCGAACCGCTGAGCTAAATCCCCGGCCCAGTAAATACATATTTTAATACTATCGAAAGCTTCAGGCATCCACTTGGTACATAGCCACAGTATATATCTATGAGGAGTAATGAGACTGAATTGGCAACTTAAAAAAAATTCCCACAAGGAAAAGCCTAGGCTCTAATAACTCCAACTAGTACACTATCAATCACTTAAAGAATAATTAATACCAGTTCTTCCAAATAGAAAAATCACTTCCCATTTAATTATGCAAAGCTAACTTTATCCTGATTCCAAATTAGAAAATGAGGTGTGATCTAAACATATGTTCATTATTTCAATTTAAAAATATATTACAGCGAAAGATACATTGCCATTAATCTCCCGTGAAGTACTCCCGCTCGCTACCAAAACATTTATCCCATAATTCTTCATACTTTCTGAGGCGACTCTGGAAGTCATTATTTTTTAATGTCTTTTATTACACTGTCCAGGCTGCCTCAGTATCAGAATCAAATCAATATCTACAAAATAAAGTGGATAAGGAAACACTGTAATGGTTTTAGATGTCTGCCTTTCAGTTGGATGTCACTGAACAGCAGTATTCACTTTTTTTTTTAATCACACCTTGTAAAGACACTCTGGAAAGAGGAATTCTAGAACTGCTTCATAAAGTGGCTGGAATGTTGATATAAATGTGTTTGAAGCATGGAATAATATTTTAGAGAGATTAATTGCTATGTGTGTTTTACTATAATTTTTAAACATTGTACGTTTTATCATATATAATATATCACAAGAAAACTATATATGTATCATCTATGAATATGTAAAGAAAATTCTCGACAAAATTCTGGAAATCAAATCCAGTTACAAAAAGATTATTATAAAATACAAACAAGTGGGTATTATTCAAAGGATGCAAGATTGTCACATCAGAATGTCTTTTAATGACATGCATCTTATGAATAGAGGACAAATATTTTGATCATTTAAACAAGTACATAAAAGATATGAAAACTGGGCCAGGGACTTAGCTCAGTGGTTCAGTGGTCTGCCTTGCAAGCACAAGGACCCGAGTTCAACCCCCGGTACCAAAAAATAAAGAAAGAAAGAAAGAAAAAACAAAAGATATGAAAACTTTCAATACACTTTTATGACTTAGAATAGTTCCATAAACTTAAGATTTTTTTAAAAAACACGTTCAACTTGAGAAAATCCCACATCATACTGATAAAAGCTAACAAATATAAAGGCTAGAGTGAATGTTTTTCCCTCAGTCCAAGAAAACAAAAGTATATAAACTTTTGCCACTTCTGTTTGCTACTGGAGGTTCTAAGGAAATTAGGCAATAAAATTCTAGAATTCAGATAGTAAATGAAGTCAAACTATCTCTATTTCCAAATGATACAATCATGTATAAAAACCTTAAGTCTGATAACTATTATAAGTAAAAAGTTTAGCAAAATTGCAGAAAAATATGAACATATAATATCAGTTGCAATTCTATAATTTGTAATGAACATTCTAAAAGTGAAAATAAGTAGACAACTCCATTTATAAAGACATAAAAACAGAAAATTAAAAAGATTTTTCATAGCAAAGAAGCAATAGAGTGAAGAGACAATCTACAGAATGGAAAAAAAACTTTGCCAGCTACTCCTCCGACAGATGTAATAGCTATAATGTATAATATAAAAATATTAGACACCTTAAAAAAAGATCCAATAAAAGAATGGGCAACTTAAATGAATACACATTTCTCACAATGAGTACAATGGCCAATTAATACATGAAAAAAAATCTCAACACTTCTGGCTATTAAAAATGCAAATTGTCCAGTCTCCAACTGATGGGCAATTGGGCTGTCTCCAAGTTTTAGCTATTACAAACTGTGCTGCTATAAACATGGGTGAGCATATATCAGTGTGGTATGATTCTTTTAATTCTTTAAGAAAGTCACCCAGTAGAGGGATAGCTGGGTACTACTCAGCCATAAAGCATGAAAAACTAGGGTAATTCATAAGAAAATGAATTCATATTGAGGTCATACTCAAGTGAAATAAATAAGACACGTGTAAATACCAAATCATTTCTCTGGTGTGAAAAAATCAAACTGTAAATAAGATCAAATTGTATAACTGAAAAAGTGAAATAGGAAGAATAGGGCTAAAGGTGTAGGGGAAGTGGGAAGGGTAGGGAAAAGGAAATAAGGGAAAATAAAAACTATGAGAAAAGGAAAAAATGGAAACAAAGTCTTTGTAAACAGGGGAGGGGAAAGGGGGTGAAGGGAGGGCAAGGGTATGGGGAAAAATGAGAACCAAGATCTGTCATGTAAAGGTACAAGATCCCAATGATGAATGTAACTGTACTGTATACTTAAAAAGTACCAATAAACTCAATGAAAAAATGCAAATTAAAACAACACTGAAATTCCATCTTACTCCAGAAAGTATGGCTATCATCAATAAATTAAATTATAACAAATTCTGGCGAGGCTGCAGAAAAGTGAAATCCTACATTTCTGGTGGGAATGTACACTGGTCTAAGCATTATGAAAATTATTGTGGAGATTCCTCAAAAAAACTAAAAAAATTCCATTCAACTCATCTATCCCTCTTCTAAGCATCTTCTGGAAATAATCAAGGACATTGTATTACAGTGATACATACTTGCCCATGTTATAGCAACAAAAATCATAATAGTTAAGTCTTGGAAGTGGCCTGTATATCCATCAACAGGTAAAGAAAATGGGTTATTTGACACAAAAGAGTAGTACTTAGTCATAAAGACAAATTCAAGTCATTTTTAGTTAAATGGATGTACCTTGAGACCATAATGTTAAGTGAAATAAATCAGGCAATAAACTTAAATGCCACATGTTTTCTGTTATATGAGAAACTCAAAATATAAATAACTTAAAGAACAAAATAAAACATAATATGAAAGAGGAATATGGATCTTTTGTAAATGGAAAGGGATCTAGAGATGGAGGGGGAGGGAGGAAAAGGGAAGGAAAGTAAAAAGAATATGTGTTATCAATTCTCTGTGATGAATGTAATCATACACTAATAAAAGTTAAAAATTATAAGCAAGGGCCAGGGATTTAGCTCAGTGGTTCCACTGCCTGCTTCGCAAGTGCAAGGACCTGAGTTTGATACCCAGTACCATAATAATAATAATAATAATAATAATAATAATAATAAGCAATACAATACTTAGGGATAAGTTTAGCAAAAGATCTTTAAGACTTTTTTTATAGTTTATATCTAAAATGTCCCCCAAAGCTTCACGTGCTGCAGAGTGAGGCTTTTAGGAGTGCCTGGACCATGAGTGTGTGATATTGGATTAAGGGTATGATAATTGGATTAGCCCACTGATTGTTTTTTCAATGTTCTGGGTGTGGATAATGGAAAACCCTAACCTGGATGTGGTGGCACCATCCAATAGGCTTGTCATTTGGATGGGATAAATGGGAAAGGAAGGCTTGTTGCTGCTATTTTCTGCTTTCCCTGACATGGTCTGTTTCTCCTCTGCATGCAAGATTCTGGGCTGAAACCTCTATAAACTGTGAGCTAAAATAAACCTTTCCTTCTTTAACTTGTAGGTGTCAGGTATTTGTCCCAGAAATGAGAAAATAACTAAGGCACTTATACAGTGAAAACTAAAAATAGCCTTGAGACAATAAAGCTTAGGGTGTTGTACACTTCTTGCTTAGCATGTGTGAGGTCCTGAGTTTCATCCCTAGCACTGCAAAAGAAAGAAAAGCAAAAAGCAAACAAAGAAATAAAAAATTAAAGAGGCTGGAAGTAGAAAGGTGTCCTATCCTCTTGGATTAGAAGACTTAGTATTAATATAATATTACCCAGATTTGTGTGCATATTCAATGAAATTCCTATAAAAATCAAACTATAATGGCACACTACTCACCACTTAGGATGGTTAAATCCAAGAGATGGACAATAATAAATGTTAGCAAGGTTGGGGATAAATTGGAACCTTCATCTGCTGATAATGGGAATGTGCACTTGTAAGGCTGCTTTAAAAAACATATGGCAGTTCCTCAAATAGTTAAATGTTGAGTTGCCATGTCACCTAGGTACACAACTCCTAGGTGTATACTCAAAAGAAATGAATACATATTCTACTTAAACTTGTAAAAATGTATTCATAGTAACTTTATTGGTACAGCCAGAAATGAAAAACAATGCAAATATTCATTATCTGAATAAAAATGTTGTACCTTTATAAAATGGGATATTATTAACAACAAAAAGATTGAAGTACTGGCATATGTTAAAACATGGACACATCTTTACAATGCAAAATAAAATAATAATGATTCCATTTATATTAAATATTCAGAGTAGACATTTGCTGAAATTCTTTTTAAATTTTTATTACTACATGCTTGCAGTATACAATGATTAGATTCATCGTGGGGAGTTAGTACATATACAAAACAGTTACTTTGTATTTGGTTTAGCAAAATTGCTGGGATGTAAGCTGCAGTCATATCACTACAGTAAGGAGAAACTCTGTCTGAGGGTGCCATCTACACAGGAAAGAGCAGAGCCAAGATATAGAGAAAGATTTATGAAAACATATTTTGAGCACACATATTCATCTGACCATTAAGCAACTGCCACTAATTTACGAATTTTCAGTTTAAATTGGTTGTCATCATGTGCAGTTCAGTAAGTCTAACCTAATATAATTGGTTAAAGCAATTATTTATTTTTTACTTCTTTGTATTTAACACATTTTAAGTATGGAAAAGGTAAGTACAGGTGTATTTAAAAATAACAATAGAAATCTCTTATGAATATTTATTCTTTAGTAGAATTATTGGCTAGTAGGAAAATCCAAATTCTGTCTAGTGAGACATACATATACATATATATTTATTTATATCAATTAAAATGTAATGACTTAAATTACATAATAAAAATCATATTAAAATTTTGTTTAAAAATACTTTACAAGTTTTAGCTATTACAAACAGCCCATCTGTCCATCAATTGGAAACTGGATAAAGAAGATGTGGTTTTTCTATAAAATGGAATACTACTCAGCCATAAGGAATGAGAAAGATTCATTCATAGTTAAATGAGTACATTTTGAGGATATACTTCTAAGTGAAATAAATAAGGCACACATATACAGTATCTCTGGTGTGAAAAATTAAACAGTACTCAAGATCCTAGTGGGACAATTAGCAAATAGGAAGAAAAGGACCAAAGGTGTAGGGACAGTGAGAAGGATAGGGAAGGGGGAATAAGGGAAAAAGAGAAAAATATGAGAAAATGTAAAAATGGAATTAAAGTGTTTGAAGGGGGGAGGGGAGGGGAGGTTGAAGGGAAGGTGGGGACAAGAGGAAAAAATGAGAACCAAGACCTGGCATGTAAAGGTACAAGATTCCAGTAATGAATGTAACTGTACTGTCTACCTAGAATGTACCAATAAATTAAATTTTAAAAAAATACGTTACTTTTTAGTGGTAATAGTAGTCCTTCCACCACTGGAGGGTTGGTTATGAGATGAGTATATTTCTTGTCTCAACTTTGAGAGTTCCTTACAAATAGAAGACAATACAATCATTTGAAAAAAAAGGAGAAACTTGAGGTAAGAAGCATGTTTGGTTGCTTAACAAGGTTACTAATAATTTCCACTCTCCTCTGAGCCTTGTGGTAAGAGTGTTTGAATCCCAAATATTAAGTAGCATATAGCGTTTTTTCACAGTACTCAAGAAGCTATATGTGTTTGGAAAAAATCACTACCCAAAGTAGGATATCCATATTTGGTACATAACTTGAAACTGAGTGGTTATAATTCTCAAGATAAAGTTGTGAAAGTTTTTGTTCTAAAAAGCTTGGTAAGCATATCCAATACATGAAAGCATTGCAACTTCAATATGGAAGCAGATGTAGCTTCATACAAAAGTTAATCAGTGAATGTTAACTCTAAGCACCATTTACCCAATAATAGTAATATATTAGCCACCATTTTTGGTAGTTCCTTTAGTACTTATCATATGCCAGATGCTAGGCTATATGCTGCAGACACAAGAAGAAATGTAATGTAGTCCCTTGATGAAGCAGCTCATAATATATTAAGTAGTTTGCTGGATTATGGGGGCATTTCACTGATAATGAAATATAAAGTCAATGTCTTTAAAATATCAACAGTGCAATATAATGGCCCTTAATGTTTGCTTAAATGCCATATTTCATTTGAATTATCTCTCCTGAAATATAAATCTTCAATGCACTGGCATATAATAAAGTGTGCCTCAGAATTGCGTCTTTTTCTAGTTCATAGGAAGCATTTTTCTCACATTACTGAGTTGTATTAGTTTTCTCCTCCTCAATCCTTTCTTTTCCTTACCTCTGACTGACGCTTTATGAGGGAATCCTTCTCTTCCAGCAAGCTTGTCAGTTCATGAAGCTTGAACTGGAAGTCATTACAGCTTCCTTCTCTTCTTGAAACATCTTTTTGGTACTGGTTTAACTGGGACTAAAGATTTAGAAAGAAATAAGTATTATAACCCTCACTAATAAAACATAATTAAATTCTTGTATGGTTTAGTTATCACAGAGGCAATACAGCCAATAATGAAATGAAAAGCAAAATGCCAATAGCTATAAACTTCTATAAAATTTTATGAAATGAAATGCCAGTTAGGAAATTCTCATTTTTAAAGGTTCCTTTACTATTTGAGACTATTATCTAAGCAATAGTCTTGCAACCCAATAATTAAAATAAAACTTAGAAAACAAACTTCAGAGTCCTTCATATACTAATTAAAACATTTGAATGCTAATATTTGTTGTGATTCTAAATTCACAAGTTATTCCTCCTGCCTGACTTGTCACAATACTCATAGCATCCTTGTGAGATAAGCACTATTATAACCCTTATTAACAAAAGAGGTAAAAGAATTTCAGAGTTTAAAGGGCGCAGAATTACCAAGTAACAAATCTTCAACTCTAAGACAGGTCTTCTGACTATAAACCTTGTCTATTTTTCTCTTCATCGCATATGTACACATAGATGGCTGTTAGGTTAGAGTGTTTATTAGTAATGTTTCAAAGGAACAGTAAACTGGCAGAAGAAATCTGGCAGAACAATAAGTATGCTTTTTAATAAATTATATTTTGTTTGACTATTTATTGGTAAATATTGTAAAGTGACATTTGGAGAGAAAAATCTATGATCATTGTAAACTGATATGTCAATTTTTGTTGGATTTGTTGCATGGTCCTGAGTGTGTCTGGGTGAATTATGGAGGCGTGGCCTTTGGTAGTATATTTGGTCCTTCACCTGATCTCCTGGTATCTTTTTCCTCTGCTCTGCTCATCTGCTACCATAAATAAATCAGCTTTACTCAGCCATGCCCTTTTGGTATGATACTCGTCCCTTGGAGTCAGCTGACAATAGATTGAATCTCGCCAAACTATGAGCTAAATCAAACCTTTCTTCTTTCAAATTGTATGTGTTGAATATCATGTCCAGAAATGCTGATGAATACAATCATTTTTGTCCACTAAAATAGTTAAGTGCATTTAAGTACATTTCAGAATCAATAAATTAAGGGGTTTATTAAGTCAGTTCAACAAAGAGTTATAAAGTAAAGCACTACATAATTATCCTTGCAAGTATCTTGATTTTAATACCAGTTTCAGGGACATAAAGTTCTACACTATTTTTGTGCTTGACAAAGTCCTTGATGTATATCATATCTCAAAGTTAACTGAGGATTTTTATAAATTCAATTATGGCTTTGCCGAATAATCTTGAATTTTGCTCTTGCCTGCATAAGCATGCTTTAAGCAAGATCATAAAATTTCCTCCACCTCCCCACAAAGTACATTTATAAAAATACAAAACAGTGAATTAATATCTTAACATGCTGCCCTATAAGAGATTAAGCTAAAACAAATAGCAGTGACACGTGTATTTAAAATGAAGTGTTCTATGACATATTCCTAAAACTCCAATTGATTTTTCCTTGTATTAAATTTGTAACTATCATGATTGGGTTAGAATGTCTGTGTTGAACTATGTATTTATACAATGTAGAATCAACATACTCTTAGCTTGCAGATCTCTCTGTCTTTCTCTTGGCTCAGGTTTTTTACCATCTCCGTGTAATGGTTGCCAATTTCATCCATTTTAGCCTGCAACATTGGACCTGTGCAAGTCTCAGAAACCTACAAAATACAAAATAACTTTCTGTAATTGTATTAATGTGAAGAAAATACGTATTATGTTACAAGGTTTGTTATTACATGGAAACCACATGATTAAATATATCATTAATATAAGAGAAATTTTCAGAATTTGTTTTATAAAGTTCAAATATCAGTATAAGACCCATGTATGAGATCATCTGAAATAATTCTGTCCACTTACTCAACTTAACTAGTGGCAATGCTAGGATTGTAATGATAGAATTACAGTAATAGTATATAGTTAAAACAAACTTTTAATACCTGTAATCTAAGATTTTTATTCTCTTTTTCTAAATTACATTTACAATACTCCAGTTCTTTTAATCTGTACTCCAGATCTGATAGTGTATGTCGAAGAGAAAGATTATTTTCTTCCAATGCCTGGCATTTTGAGCTTGAGTCTTGAAGTCCTTGCTGTAAGGAAGACACAAACATGTAGACAAATATGCACTTTACTGTTTGCAGAGGACTTATCTTTTAATTGATTGATTCAGTCAAATCAAGCAAATATTTCTCCATGGCCATTTTGATACATTCTTAACCTTAGCTTTTACGTCAAATCAGCCATATAACGTATTAATTTTGCCCGTAATCTCACTTGACTATCTTTAGTGAAAAGGAATCATTACTAGCTGAATTTTCAGTGTTCCAACTTAATCATCAGATTCTTGCTACTATTTGACAATATTTGAACAAAAAGACCATGTGCCTGGTTATGCATGCAACAACTCACAGTTAATTTTAATATTTATTAAATTTAGACACACAGTTAAGTAGGAATTCAGGACAGTCATGAGAGTGAAGATTAAGAAGGGGTGACCCTTAGAGATTCATTATAATTTTATAGGAATTATCTCTGCTTAGAAATTCTATTACAGTTCATACATTCATTTATTGTTCATGGTACATACATAAGTCAAGGTCTATAAATGCTTTTTGATTACCACATTACTAGATTAAATGACATTGAACTTTGATTTTCAATATTTATATAATTCTTGTCATCAACCAACAGCAGAAATACTTGTGTGTATATTTTATATTTAAAGAATATGTTTATCTGAGAGGGTATTCAGTCATTAGAAACACTTAAAGCCAATAATTTATCATATGAACACATTGTTCCATCATATTTTAATTCCATATGAACTGAATCTCTAAACTGTAATGTGTCAGTAATTGTGCATATAAAAGCTATTAATCTAGCTTATCATCAACAAAAGCATCAACTTACTTGCTGCTGGCGATTATTTGCTCTCACTGATGCCAAGAGTTCTTCATACTCTTTTATTTGAGATTCTTTGAATGCCAAGTCCTTCTCAAGCCTTATCTTGTCATTTTCCAGTGACTAAGAGCATAATTTATTTATTATGATTCAGAATTACAGAAACTTGCCAATAGACATATAATATACAGGCTTGTTTGCACTGAAAGATTTGCAAAAGCACTTGTTCCATTTGTAGTTTAACAAAACAGAATTCTTGAAAGTTAAGCAAAATATGGTTTAAAATTATTGAAAATCTAAAAATGTGCATTGGAAGGGACATTTTAGTGAACTGAACAACTCTCAGTGGAGTGAAATGGAACCTTCTGAAGTATTTTAGCATTTTTCTTTAATCTCAAATACTCCTTGTTAATTTCAGCAGGTAGTGCATTTTCAAGTTAAAGTCTAACTATACTCATTACAGGAAAAAAAAATGCCCAAACCACTTGAAAGTCCTCAAAGTGTTAATTATATGGAAAGTATTCTGAATATATCTAGCTATCTGGCCATTGAGATCAGAAACAATTAAAATAGAAATTACTAAGTTATAAATTCAGAATATGATTTATTATATAGAAAAGGGGGAAGTTCCCATTTAATGAGTCAGATTATTCTAATTCTTCAGGCTGCTCCCTGGCTTTAAAATTTAATTACCTTAGTGTCAAACTAAATAATAAATGCACACTCAACATTCTTTTATCTACACATTGGACAATTTCTCATCTTTCAATGCTAATTGACTATTTAAGAAAGTAATTTAGCTATGTCTAAGTAAGCAAAATCTTGCTGTTTTATTAAATTTTAAAAAGGTATATTGAATGTCTTAATTTCTTTTAGGAAGTTAAGAATTAGAAAGGATTTGGAAATATATCATAATAAATCTTACCGTCAAGTCATTTTGAAGATGTCCTAGCTCCTCTCTTATGTTACTGAATGTGGATAGTATTAACCGGAGTGATTTATCAGACATATCCCTCATCTATAGGAAGAAAATAACTGATGGTTTATTTTTCCTAGCATTTGAAAATAGGCATTATAAGAGAAAGTAATCTCATTTTTGTTCTTACCAGCAAACATATTGCAATTTTATTTGTGATATGACAATATTGATATGACACAAGGCATTTTGTTAATAATGTACTTAAGCAGTTCAAGTAATATCACTGGAGACATCATAACTAGATATTTGGCATAAATATTTATTATGTTTTCATGAGAAAGTAGCATTTTTTTCTCCCAAGGTAGAATTCCATCAGCAAAATCTTTAATATAATTTAATTTTTTCTTTAAAAATTAGAATAGATGAAACAGTCAACCTTGAAATAATAAAATGAGCTTTGATAAGTTTGCAGCTAAGAGTACAGATTTTGCCTAAGGTAAGGAGAATATAATACTAATTAAATTTAACTTTGAAGTCCAGAGCCATCTCTAATTTTAAAGAAGAGGGAGATAAATGTTGTATTCTCATTTGTTTAAAGAAAACATTTTTAAATAAAGAAGAGACATTATAGGCATTTATAGCTAAATGGATGCACTTTGAGGCTATACTTGGAAGTGAAATGAATAGGACACATGAATAAATACAGAATATGTCTCTGGTGTGAAAAACTAAAAGTGTAATGAGGTTTAAATGGTATAATTGATAGTGTGAAATAGGAAGAAAATGGATAAAGGTCAAGGGGACATGGGAAGGGTAGGGGAAAAGACAAAATATGAAAAAAAGGAAAAAACGGAAACATACTCTTTGTAAATAGGGAAGGGTGAAGGGGTTGAAGGGAGGTTTGGGAATGGGGAAAAATAAGAAGCAAGATATATCATGTAAAGATACAAGATCTCAATGATGAATATAACTGTTTTGTTTGTCTTAAGTGTACCAATAAATTTAATGGGGAAAAAAGAAAATACTTATTCAAGACAACTTCAGCTTATAGACAGATGGAGGAGAAATATTTTCCCCAGACCTCTTAGTACAAAAAAATCCCTGTACATTAGATATAAAATGAATATTAAGAGTCTCAGAATGGTGAAAAGAATGAGGACCAATTAGGACCTTTGGGACGGAGGAAAGACAATAATGAGTCCCTTCATTTGAGGGGGGTGTATTTTGTATATCGCAGACTGGTGTTGGGAAGCCAAATACAACAATTAACACATTCTTTCTAGAAAAATGACCACAAAAGGGAAGCCTAGTAAGACAGAAAACTTTTAGACAATGTCCACTGTATTACAATAAAACACCACAGAAAAAAATGGCAATTCTATTCTCAAATAATCAAAGGCTGAGAGATGAACCTAGAATTCCCCTTCATTAGAGTCTAAGAAGCCATACCAATGCCATTTACTAGGTTATTGTCAGGAAAGGCACAATGGAGAAATAGTTACTTCATCTTTACTGAGAATAAAATTAAATGCTAAGCACTGTAATGTCAGTTGATACCATGATACTTTGGAATCCATGATACCATGGACTTTCACTCTATCATATCAAGAAAGGCTTACAGGGGAACCTAGACTTCTACTTCTAACTGGCCATAAGAGATAGTGCCTCCATTTTTTCTGATTTTCCAGTATCAGAGAAGAATATTGCTGAGCAAGAATATTTGCATAGTATCCAAGAAGTAAAGATAACAGAATAAAAGCTGGTAGCTCCAGCACCTGGAATTGAGACACCTGAAAAATATCAACTTAGCAAAGAGGAAGAAAAGAAGTGCTCCATGAATCAGTAAAGAGCAGACAGAAGAGTTAGAAACCACAGAGAAACTGGAAAAATTGAAAACAATGCAGAGAAAAGAAAAAAGTTGTCATCAATTCTAACTCCAGCTCCTGGGGATGGGAACATGTCTTCAGCAAATACAAGGTAAGCCCTGAAAGAGTTGACAGCTCCAATGATAAAATTGAACAAGCAGTGGTACAGCCAAGAAAAGCTCATGGTATTGTAAGCTGCAGATACAGTATGGGTTTTTTTTTATTGAGTTTATTGGTACATTTAGGGATACAGTACAGTTACATTCATTGTTGGGATCATGTACCTTTACATGGCAAGTCTTGATTCTCATTTTTTCCCCTTACCTCTGCCCTCCCTTCACCCCCTCCTCCCCTCCCCATCTACAAACACTTTATTTTCATCTTTTCATTCTCTCACATTTTTTTCTTTTCCCTTTTTGTTCTTCCCCTACGTATCACACCTTCCCTACACCTTTAGCTCCTTTCCTCCCATTTCTAAATGTCAGTAATCTTATTAGAATCTTATGCATTGTTGCAGAATATTCACACCAGGGAAACTATTTGGTATTTACACATGTGGGACTTATTTATTTCACTTAGGAGTATATCTTCAATATGTATCCATTTTCCTATGAATGAATCTATTCTCTCGCTCTTTATGGCTGAGTAATATTCCATTTTATAGAAAAACCACAACTTCTTTATCCAGTTTCCAACGGATGGGCAAATAGGTTGTTTCCAAGATTTAGCTATTACAAACTGTGCCGCTATAAACATGGGTGCGCATACTTCTCTGTGATATGATTCTTTTAGTTCTCTTGGAAAGATACCCAACAGAGGGATGGCTGGGTCAAATGGCACCTCCAGTCTGTGGGGTTTTATTCTAGAAGTGACACTTTCTATAAGGCAGGCCAGCACTAGAGAAGAAATTCACTGCAATGCTTACCATATTTGGAGTGATATAATCAGGGCTATTTTGAGAAAGGGAATACTATTTAAGACTGAGATGCTCCAGAAATCACAAGTAACAGAGTAACCACACTTCAGTTTCTGGGTTTACGCTACCACACTGATTGGGTCACAGATGCCCACAAGAGACACTCATGGGGAACAGAATGTCTAGTCATAGATCACCTAAGCAGATTAAACAGCAGCAAGCTCAGCCGTTGGAGAATACAGCTCCTGCTCTGTGGTGAGAAGCCAGGGCAGTTATGTGTAGTGTTCTGAGTGGGGTAAGTCTGAATGCACTGGGATTACGTCCAGTGGAATGCATGGTTACTTCTAGGACATAACTCAGTGGTCTGCTTGATTTCCCCATCTGACCAGGTGATCAAGGATATACTGTGGCTTGGACATTTGTCACTTCCTGCAATATATGGAGAAAGGGACCTCTGGAACAAGTGCGGGCACCTTATAAGCCCAAAGGCCATAAAGTTAGTGAGGGATAGTAGTGGCTTGGGGCACAGAAACTAAAAGCCACTGGAGTGAATACAGCCCCAAAGCAGACAATACATCACTGAATGACACCATCTAACAGGAAAGGCTAGGCAGGACTCAGTAGTCACACAACACAATGTTTAGGCTTAGGTGTGACTTACTGTCCTCTTATAGCTGGTGGTTTCTAGTACCATTAGACAAAGAAAGCAGCACTTCCATGGGGAACAATTTTTTGACTCATTTTTCTTTCTGTTTTTTTTGTGGTTTTTTTTGGCTGTTGTTGTATTGCTGTTGTGTTTTTTGCTCTTTGCTACATTTTTATTTTTCTCATTTTTTCTATTTAATTTACCTAATTCCATTTACTTTCTTTTACTCCTTAATTGGATTTAATCACAATTTTCTTTCCTCTTTCTTGTCATCTTCCTTTTCTTTCCTCTTCAAATTTTACTTCTTTTTCCCCTTTCTTGCCCCTTCCACTTTTTGTTACTATTAAAACCTACACTGATTTTTACCTATTTATTTTATGCTATTATTGCTGATTTATTTCTTTGTCAATGATGACATAGTTACTGCTTTTAGAAGAAATTTACTAGATGTTAATATTTAGTATGCCTTTGTGTGTATTAATATGGCAGAACTCTTCTATTATTAAGGGTGGTAGAGTTGTCTTTATTGCTCTTCATGGTGATTTCTGTTGTTAATGGTGGCATAGTTCTTGCTCGGAGTTATTTTTTTTTTCCTTTCTTTTTATCTTATTCAGTTTTTTGGTACATTTTAGGTATACAGTACAGTTACATTCATCATTGGGATCTTGTAGCTTTACATGACAGGTCTTGGTTCTCATTTTTCCCTCTTACCCCTGCCCTCTCTTCACGACCTCCACCATCCCCTATTTGGAGTTGGTTTTTATTGTATACCAATATATGATTTGTCTGTGTGTTGTCTACATTACTGTAGTTTTTTAAACTCTTTTCTGAATGTTGCTGGAGACAAAGCCCACAGAAGAAGTTTGTACACTAAGGAAAAACTCTCAAATATTATATTGAGTACATTGAAGATTGATATTAAAATAACTAAAACCAACATTATAGGGAGAAATTCATCGTTGATCTTGTAGCTTTACATGACAGGTCTTGGTTCTCATTTTTCCCTCTTACCCCTGCCCTCCATTCACGACCTCCACCATCCCCTATTTGGAGTTGGTTTTTATTGTATACCAATATATGATTTGTCTGTGTGTTGTCTACATTACTGTAGTTTTTTAAACTCTTTTCTGAATGTTGCTGGAGACAAAGCCCACAGAAGAAGTTTGTACACTAAGGAAAAACTCTCAAATATTATATTGAGTACATTGAAGATTGATATTAAAATAACTAAAACCAACATTATAGGGAGAAAGAACCTAACTAAAGAAATTGCCACAGCATTGACAGTTTTTCTACCCAAAATGATATTCAATGTGCAGCAAAAAAAAAAAAAAATATATATATATGTAAACAGGAAATGCAAGTAAGAAGATGCCTCTCCAAAAGCCCTTACCTCTTCAAGAGTAGAAAGAAGTAAAGAAAGTTACAGGCAAAGAACTAAAAAACAAAATGGTCAAACTATTTAGAGAGATCAAAGAAGAAACATATGGAAAATCATAAGATGTTTAGCAAACTTCAAGAAGATTTAAATAAATGGAGAAATTAGTTCATAAAATGTTCAGTGAGCTTAAAATGGAAACAAAATAAGTTGATCAAGTTAAACAAGATAATACAAGATATGAATCAACATTTTGGTATATAATTAGAAATTCTGAAAAGAAATCAAATAGAA